AAGATATGCAACGGTATTTTTTACATATAATTTTTATATTCTGTTGGTGACCATTCGTTGCATTCAGTCATCATATTTTAGATGATTGAAGAACTGAGCGAGTCATTCACCGCTGATTCAGATAAGAAGTTTGTCCTAGCACTGACACCTGCACAACTTGGAAAAGCTCCTGGTCAGACGAAGCGTGGCAATCTGCCGAAGCTTCTCTCTGGTGACCAGTCCCATGAGCAGCCGAACTCGTCGTCGTGCATCGCCTATGGTGGTGTTGCCAGGGACCACGCGGTGAGCGAGAAGCTGCATCATTTGCTACCCGGTTCCATCTGTGTCAAGTCCTAAGTCATTTTTTGCTTCAGGACGATGAAAGTGATAATTGCACGCGAAACAGAATTGCAGAATCTGATGAAGAAACCACTCACGCGAAAGCTGAGGCAAAGGCTGTCTTCAAGAGGCAGGACGAAAATATGGACAGGTATGGCTTCAAGTGATGGGGAAAATTAAGTTACGCCAGTTCAGTTACCACGGATTGGTCCTTGATTTAGTCATTGAATGGATTGAAATGTACTGTCATAATCACACTGTAATAGAGTTGTTGGTACTGCAGTACGATTTTAGGTAAACAGGAGCTACTCAACCAGGCGTAGTCAAAAGATCGTGAGTTTAAGCCCTGACATCGTCATTGACCTTTAATCGTATCGAGGTAGATAAATTAATTCTATTTGGTGACAAATTAAACCTAGGCTACTCACTGTGCTTGCTACATAGCTTAGACAATGCTTTTAGAATACAGCACTCCCGATTGAGGGCTTGGGGTGCTTGTATAGTCGGTCGAATGTCAGAGCCAGAGCTGACTAATCCCTTGTCGAGGGTTGGTGTGGGCGCTCGCCCTTCTTCCTTAGGAGGTTGATAAACAAGTTTCGACACAGCTACTGTAGACTCTAATTTAAAAAAATAAGGCGTTCCTGACTAATGGTATGGAGATCAGCATGCCACCATTAATTTAATAGAATGAATAGTGCCAAAAATGGCCTCACCATGAAATTCTAATAAAACGAACATTCAAACGGTTGCCAAAGTTCGTTTTTTCTACTCCTGACTGAGGCACAGAAAGAGAAGGGCATAAACGCGAGATAGCTTGGAACCTTAAGTTCCATGAGAAAAGGGGAAATGAGAAATGGCGCCCATCGTGCAAGCGTATGAAATGCCGACATTTTAACAGTTACTGACTTTCTGTTTCTTTACTGTTTCACACAACGTTTTTACTCGCATGGTTCGGCGGCATTAAAAGAATTTACATATTAAAACATATGCCTCAGGAAGGTGCAATTTCGAAACCGATTCATGATTTGTAAATTTTTCATGTATTGGTCCCCAAAATGTGGTGATCTATTGACTGAGATACCGTGAGCTTGTGCAAACGGAGGATAGGACAAAATTCGGCAATGGTTTTCGAAAAGACGAAGTCACAGCGGCCTGAATTAAAAAAGACCATTCAGCTAGCGTGGCGTGCAAATATGAAGTTGACCGTATGGAGGGATATTGGTAATGACGAATTCAGGTAATTATGAAAACGCAGAGAAATCGATATTCTTCATTTCACAAACGACAAAATACAAACGGATAGAAAAGATATTCCCAGGCAACGTTTCAAAATTTTTTTAACTCGTATCGTTCCAAAGAGACATTGACTAAAATTGGCACACAGTTGAAAAAAATTTACTTCACATAGATTAGGAGATCTTGGATGGAATGAAAATGATTGAATTTTCACAGAAGTACTAAATAAATTGAGACGGTGTTTTTGTGTACGTCTGTTCCCTATTTAACATGATTATATGATGTGGATGGATACTGCAGATGTGAATGAAGAATATTCTTCAGCCAGTATGAAAAATAAAGGGCAACACGGTAGTCTGTAAAAGTAGCCTGCTGGTTGGTATTAAGGTTTGCCATGGAACTACGTTAAAGATTGCGTAACAGAGGCTCAGAAAATGTGGATGTCACATAAAAGCTGCTTGGTTCGGTCAGCGTCGATTCCGTTTTTGTTCCAGTTAAGTCTCAGAAACTTGCAGGGAACGAAGCAAGATATTTGCCTGGCTCCAGTCACATGGGTAAAGTTTATGTTGTCTTGCAATTATGGCAGTATGCCTTATCAAAAAATGAAATATGGTGGAGAACGATGCAGAAGTTAGAACCAGAACAGCCCGTAAAGGACGGTCTGTCAAAATTCAGAAATGTGTTCAGTTCTATTTTCGATGGAGATGAATCACTAATAAGCGACCTGCTGAAAACATTGAAGACATTTTATCTTGAAGTAAGCAGCTTCATCTGAGAAAAGCAAAACGAAATGCCTGCAGACAGTTTTTGCAGAAAGGAGAGGACATGAATAGCCAGAGGTTGAAGATCGGATCTTCTGTTGCTTAAAATTGCGACATTCAAGTATCTTGAAGTCGTCACACGAGAAAACGAAATTTCGACAGAAGTTAGCCAAAAAGGGTTTGGCTCAAATAGCCAAAAAACGGTTGTTTGTTTATGGCAGAAATTTTTGCCCTGCTAAAATTTGAAGCCAGTGAAACAGTAATAAAAGGCCACTGCCGTACGGAGTATAATTTTTTGCCATACTGAGGATATGATCAAATGGAAAAGTCGCATCATTGAATCCCGATGGTTTTCTTAAGGGACACAACTAACATTAACAGATAACTCTGAGCACTACTCTAACACTTACGGAAAGAATAGATTGCTTTTTCGTCGCAGTGTTTCAGGAAAACTTTCAGATGTGAATCAGGCAGCTTGTTACACAGACATGCTTCGTAAAGAACTAACGGAAGATAGGCAACGTCGTAGTGCATCCGTCTCCAGGAAGAACCATTTG